TCTTTTTTGTTTTGTTTTGTTTTCTCTGCTGCTTTGGAAGCTATAGATCGTTTAGTGGTTTCTTGCTCTGGCTCCTCATTTCACAGTGAGCAATTTTAGCTTCTCATGCCCTTCTGCAGCTAGTTAGCATCCAGCTTCCGATCTGTACCCAAACCTTGCAGGCTCTTGGTTCTTTTCCCTTTTCAATACCTTGTTTTTGAGCTCAGCGTGCCCTTTACATTTCTGGTTCTATTTTTTCTATTGCTATATGCTTGGAAAGGGAGCTCTGGTAGTATAGTGGCTAAGACACTTGCCTGCTAACCAGACGGCTGGCGGTTCAAACCCACCAGCCACTCCTCGGAAAGAAGGTTGGGCAATCCTACTTCCGTAGTGATACTGCCTCGGAAACCCAAGGAGGGGGTCACTATGAGTCGGGTTTGACTGGACGGCACATAACAACAACAATGTTTGGAAAAGAAGGAATGAATCAGTTAACTGTTTTGTTTTGACCTAAAGCTCTGGTGGCGTAGTGCCTAAGGCATTTGACTGCTAGCCAGAAGGCAGGTGGTTCAAACCCCTACTACTCGGAAGGAGGACAGGGCAATCTACTTCCATAGAGATGTTGTTGTTATGTGCCGTTGAGTCAGACCCGACGCATAGCGACCCCTCCTTGGGTTTCCGAGGCAGTATCACTACGGAAGTAGACTGCCCCCTGCCCCGTCTTCCTTCTGAGGACTGGCCGGTAGGTAGGAGCTCTGGTAGCATAGTGCCTAAGGCACTAGCTTCCATAGAGATACTGCCTCAGAATCCCAAGGAGGGGTTGCTGTGAGTCAGGATTGACTCAATGGCAGTGAGTTTTTTTTTTTTTTTTTTTTAAGCTTTGCTATATTATTTCTTTGGTCACATAGAGATGATACCTGCCATAACTGTCCTGTTAGCATTTCTGAGGGCTGTATTATGAGGTAAAGAATAAATAGTGTTTAATTTGCTTTAGCCAGAGTTATGCATGTAGGAGATAACTTTTACAGGAAAACAGAGAGTCTGTCAGTCTGCAAATATGAAACTAAGATTGTTCTTAGTTCAAAGGGTTTTTGTTGTTGTTGCTGTTTTTTAAGTTTTGTTTATGTTTAGTTTAAGTTGCTTCCTTCTCATTCTTTAAAACATGACCATCTTTTTCACCTTTTAGGTTATTTGAATAAGAGCTCTGACCTGACTGGCCCAGCCAAACAGTTCGTCAAGGATAATTAATATTCATAGTTGAGAGCAACAAGTGAAATAGGTATGTATTGCTGACTTTTATTTTTGCTCTTCTCTCTGCCTTCCCTCGTGTCATTGAGCAGTGAGGCAACGTGGAAAGGGAAGGACTTGTTTGTTTATTTATGTTCAGTAAGTCTACTCTGGTTGCTCAGTGGTGGAAGCTCTTGACAGCTAACCAAAAGGTTGGTGGTTTGAACCCACCAGCCACTCCGCAAGAGAAAGATAAGGCAATTTGCTTCTGGAGAGATGTACAGCCACGTAAACCCTATGAGGTGGTTCTACTCTGTCTTGTAGGGTCACTGTGAGTTGGAATCAACTCGACCACAGTGGGTTTTGTGTTGCTGTGGAAGTCTACTCTAGACCACCATGGAAACTGGTCAAGCCACCTGCTGCATTGCTCTGTTCTCTTTCCAACAAAGAGGACTAGGAAAAACTATTTCAGTTTTGGATTATCAACATCATAGTTGAAGAAACTGGAATTTCTGCTGGATTTTTTAAAAATCTGTATTAACAAGCTGCATCATCTTGGATATTTATTCAGCATCAGTTTGCAGGGCTCTGACGGGTGAGTCATGAGAGCCACAACTTAATCCCTGGAGTGCCTTTTAGTATAGTGCTGTGCATTTTTTAGGCACAGACCACTTTGAAAATATGACTGAAACTGTGGACCCTCTCCCCAGAAAGTTGTATATATGCATAAAATTTAGCAGCTGATTTCAGGGTGCTTCTGAACCCCAGATCCCACAGGGGATCCACAGACCCTCAAGTCAAGAATCCTCATTTTAGGGATTTGTAGATAACCTTCAGGAAGAGACATGACCCCAGGAGTGAGGTGACACACCAGAAATTAAATTTTAAGGAAAATGTCAGCTTATGAAAGTACGAAGAATGATGCAGCTGAAAGTATATCCAGCCTTGGTTTGAAATTGGTCAGATAAAATTTCTTAATTTTTGGTGAAAATATGCACAATGAAACATACACCCATTCAAAAGTTTTTACTTGAGCAGTTCAGTGACAAAGGTATATACTTCACAATGTGTCACCATTCTCACTATTTGTACCCATATCGTTTCACCCCATTAACTTACTTAGACTCTCTTCTGATCCTTAAAGTTCTTTTCTAGGCTTTCAAGTTACTCTCATCGATTTGATCTCATATGGATAATTCTCTGAAAATGTGCAGTATTCATGGAAAACAATCTTTATTTATTAGCTAAACTGTTACTTAGTTTAAAAATAACTTCATAGTATACTGTTGGTTTAAGGTTTAAAAGTTGTGTCCAGGCAGTAGATTTGGGGCTTCACCTGGTCAGAATGAATCCCTTAAGTCTGGTTCCATGAGAATTTGACGTTCTGTTCCACATTTTTCCTCCTTTTCATCAAGAACCATATATTGGGTCCTTGATCAACACATTCAGTAATGGTAGCCCAGCACCATCCCTTTCTTCTGATCTTATGGCAAAGGAGATAGTATTTCATGGAGGCTGTTAGACCTGCAGTCCATTTCTTTCTCTGATTCCTGGGTCTTTTTCTTCCTCTTGTTGCTTCAGGCAAATAGACTTGTATCTTGAGTGGCCTGTCACAAACTTTTAACACCCCAAGCACTATTCTCCAGAACTAGGAAGTAGAACACAGACTCTAAAGATAATATTAGGTCAATTGACTGAATAGAAAATTGGGTCAGATAAATTTTTAAATATTCTGTTTTTGCCCCTGTGGTGGAAAGCTAGTTAAGGAGCTGTGGTTGTTGATTTCCTTCCTCACTGAGTTGAGAACTTCTTGCCAAAGATGGTCTACAGTGTGTTGGGGCCTGTCCTTGCTAAAGTCACCTTGACTTTAGAAAAAAGTTTCTTAGTTCCCTCTGGCCTTGTATAGGTCTCAGAGGGTTCATTCTGTTATGCCCAAACACGTTTTGTTAGAGATTGTTTTCTCCTACTTATTCTGCCTCCACTGTTGACTACCACAGTTCCCATGATGATTGTTTTTAGCAGAGGCTACTTGAAACTCTTCTAAGGGAAGCTGTTGCCATAGCTACCTTGGCTGTGATAGTTACCATTTTCTTCTTTTTGTTAGCTTTTGGTTTCCCTGATTTTTAAGGTAATGTCTAATGTTCTGTTTTTCTGCTGAACAGCAAGGAAAATGCTGTATTTTTGTTGCTGTTGCTTTTGTTGTTACTAATGTTTGGTTGTATGTGTTTGGAGTTGTGTGTGCGTGTGTATTTAAGATAAAGATATTTCCAAAGATGGAATGTTACGAGAGTTTGGGAAAAGCCAGATATGCATATATATTTTCTTTTCTCCAGTGTTTAATTTTGGTCTGATGATTGAAGTGAGTCCAGTTTTGGTCTAATTTTAGACTAATGTCTATAGTCAGTTTTCCTCTGGGGAAAGAAAATTGGCGGAGCTCCATTTCACACTTCCTGAAACCCCCAGGAGCAAGGACCACTGTGTCTGGCCTGCAGTGTGAAATGGACTCTAGGCCAGGTGCTGTGTGAGCAGATGGCTGACAAGTCAGGCAGAAGTTGTTTTATCTCAACCTGTGTCTGAGTTACCTAGTGCTGCTATAACAGAAATACCACAGGTAGGTGGCTTTAACAAGCAGAAATTTATTTTCTCACAGTTTAGGAGGCCAGAAGTATGAATTTGAGGTGCTAGGGGAAGGCTTTTTCTCTGTTGGCTCTGAAGGAAGGTCCTTGTCTCTTCTGAGCTTCTGCTCCTGGGCAGTCTTCTTGTGGCTGGGTATCTCTCTTCCTCCATCTCTGTTTCCTTGCTTGTTTGTTTAATCTCTTATATCTCCAAAGAGATTGACTCAAAACACACCCTATACTAATCCTTTCTCATTAACATAACAAAGATAACCCATTCTCACTGCCAGAGTTGATTCTGACTCATGTTGTTGTTGTTGTTGTTGTTTGCCTTGTCAGTCGGATTGCCCAACCTTCCTTCCGGGAGTGGAGTGGCTGGTGGGTTTGAACCGCCAGCCTTCTGGTGAGCAGTCAAGTGCCTTAGGCACTATGCTACCAGAGCTCCTATTCTGACTCATAGTGACTCTCATTGGGTTTCCAAGGCTGTAAATCTTTACAGAAGCAGACTGCCTTATCTTCCACAGTACAGCTGGGAATGAACCATCAGCCTTTCGGTTAGCAGTCAAATGTCTTAAGCAATGTAATACCCCAGAGTTCCTTAACTCATTCCCTAATGGGATTATACCCAAGCAAAAAAGTTAGGATTTACAACACATTTTTTGGAGGGACACAATTCAATCCATAACTACCTCTTAGGAAAAAAGAGGGATATGGCCCTGAAAGCAGTCCAGCCACACCTGATGGCAACACCAGTCCTATCCCATGTCTCTGTCCAAGGCTGTAAACACAACACTTAGCACACACCTGGTGCATCAGGTGTGATCAAGTCTACTAAGAGCTTGAAGACTGCCTGGACTTCTTTTGCTCTGTCTCAGCAGGATGTTATTCTCAGCATCTTTCAATTTGCTTATCTTAGAAATGTTCATTAGATTGAAAAAAGAAAGCAGTAGTCTACCCAGTGCTCAGGATTGTGTGTGTGTGATTTGGGGAATTGCCAGCCCATTGGTGGCTGTTAGGCACTGATGGGTACTAACCTGGGTGGACCCTGTGGACACATCTGGATAGTGAGATAGCATTGTAGGCACTGGGTAGCATGGCATGCCTGTTTAGTGTAGGTAGGCTCCCATCTGCTCACTATGCTTGTAATCTCAAACCTGTGCCTCTGTTCCCAGAATCAAGATGAATGCCATGCTGGAGACCCCAGAGCTGCCGGCCGTGTTTGATGGAGTGAAGCTGGCTGCGGTGGCTGCTGTACTATACGTGATCGTCCGGTGTTTGAATCTGAAGAGCCCTACCGCCCCACCTGAACTCTATTTCCAGGACTCAGCGCTTTCCCACTTTCTGCTCAAGTCCTGTCCGCTTCTAACCAAAGAGTGAGTAGACCTCATAGCCTCTGTATGCCAACCTGCTGATCTGTTGGCTTTGTGTGATGTTCAGAGAAGAACCTTTTTACATTATGTTCTTAATGCATCAGTGCACTGATGTAAAATAGTGTCCTTGGTGGTGAAATAGTCATTGTCCCGATAGGAGTCTGGTGTTTGAAACCTAGAGGACAGGAAAGAGAATCAAATCTTTGTTGCTTGGAAACGTCCCTTCCTCCACGATGTGGTATCATCATCCATGAAAGGACTTGCAGAAGCAGTAGTCATTTTTAGGTGGATACAGAAAACTGAAACATTATTCTAGCCCTTTATCAAATGCCCTGTTATCAGGTCTAGGTCAGGGAAACCATTGTTACCCAAAATAATGAATAAGCAAAAAAGTACAGGCTAACTAGTTGAGTACTTGCCATCTGCCTTATTGAAAATTGTACCAAACATTGGCTAAGAGAATCCACTTCAAGAAAATGTTATCTTTCTGAGGGAACCAGGTTTCCCTGCATGAGTCCTAGAGGTGTATTTTGGAGGTAGTAGGGTGAGCACTGCTCCTGCGAGAGGACTCACAGCGACCTTAGGTACAACTGAAGGAAACACTGTCTGGTCCTGCACCACCCTCAAAATTGTTGCTATGCTGGAGCCCGTTGTTGGCAGCCACTGTGCCACCCATCTCATTGAGGGTCTTCCCCTTTTTTGCTGACCCTCTTATAACATGACCAAAGTACGAGAGATGAAGTCTGACCATGCAAATTAGGTGTATGGAACCCTAACGGGATTGGTCAGTTTTTGAAAATGAGCTATCCCAGCTGCAGGAAGTGAATAATCTTAACTGTCATCAAGATAGAAAAGCAAGAGTGGAGCATGTCCTTTGGACCCAAAATCCCTGCACTGAACCTCCTAGATCCAGGAGACGGAGAACTGTGACATCAGAGACAGTGAGAGAGCAAGAAGCAGCAGCAGAGACATGGTGACAGCAGAGGCAGCAGAACCTCTGTCAGCATGACACAGACTAGTGGGTCTCCTGGCCCACAAGTAAGAAAGCTGATTGCCTTCAGGCAGGAGACTAACTGGTGGAGCGGGGTGCCTCTGGCATTTATCAGCAGGACTGAAAGAGCTTTGTAACATTTACCTAAGCAGGGCAGAGGCCTCCACGGAGGGCCATAGAGAGACCTGCCTGCAGGCATGGCTGAGAAAAGGCTGTCCTGATTGAAGAACTGTATCCTGAGTCCTTTCTAATCCTAAATAATAACCTGTATAACCTGTTACTTCCCTAATAAAGGCGTTCTGGTGGCATAGTGCCTAAGACATTTGACAGCTAACCAGAAGGTTGGTGGTTCAAACCCACCAGCTACTCTGCAGAAGGAAGACTGGGCAATCTACTTCTGTAAAGATTTACTGCCTCAGAAATCCAAAGGGGGTCACTATGAGTTTGAATTGACTTGATGGCAGGGAGTTTGGTTTTTTGGTTTTTGACTTCCCTAATAAGCCCCAACATTGTGAATATAGTCTGTGAGTTCTGTGTGGCCATTGCAATGAATTATTGAACCCAGTAGAGGAGTAGAGAGTGCCATGGGAGGGATAGTTGGTGTCAGACTAGGTAAGAAGGTCGGAGGGTAGAGGCATGTCTGACCTCGTCACATAGGAATCAGCCTTGGACTGCTGTTGATCCTGATCCTCCTCCCACCTTGTGAAGTTAAGAGGAGGTCACATGGCACACCCCCAAGCTATTTTTACAGACTTATTCAAGAGGCTTTGTATGTGCTTTCTGTGGAAATTCCCTATGTGTGGGTGAAATGGCTGGGTGGGGCTTGGCCCATATGGGTCACATGGGGCCAATGGGTATATTGAGGTTTCTTAAGGTGACCTTGGGTCCCACTAGTAGCCCCCCTCACAGCTTTCATACTAAGGACTGACTGGCACAGTCTAGTTTCTTTTGCATTTCTGAGTGTCCTTTAATCACCAAGGCAAAAACATCTGTGTTATGAACCTAGTCCACTGCTTTGTGATTAAAACCTGGTATTGTTGCCTGTGTTCAGATTCTTGGCTAACAGTCAAAGCCAGTGTTCACGTTCAGTTTTCTTTTAGGGTTGTAACAGCATTCAATGAGACATCATGACAAAAATCAAAAACAAGTTGCTAACAACTCAATCATGTTGCCTATGCTCATGGGGAGTCCCTGGATGGTATAAACAGTTAGTGTGCTCAGCTGCCAACTGAAAGGTTGGAGGTTCAAGTCCACCCATAGGCTCCTCAGAAGAAAGCCTTGTGAATCTGCTTCCAAAAATCAGCCGCTGCAAACCCTGCAGAGCACATTTCTGCTCTGACACACACAGGGTCTCTATGAGTAAGAATCAACTTGATGGCAGTGATTACTGGTTAATGTTCATGCAACGCCATGTTCAACATAAAAAAAAAAACAAAACAACCCACTGCCGTTGAGTTGTATCCAACTCATAGCGACCCCTTCTTGGGTTTCCAACGTGGTATCACTACGGAAGTAGATTGCCCGACCTTCCTTCCAAGGAGTGGCTGGTGTGTTTGAACCACCAGCCTTCTGGTTAGCAGTCAGATGCTTTAGGCCCTGCACTACCAGAGCTCTTATGTTCAACATAAATGTCACCATATTGAATTTGGAACTGCCCCTGCTGAGGGAACTTGACTTCATATTTGTCTCTGCAGTGCCTTCTGGCATTCTTCTTAAGCAGCATGTGGAGCTAAACTTCTCCTTCTGAAGTATGTGCTCAGTGTTTGTAGGTTTCCAGAATGGTCCAATGTTTTTTCACACTCTTATTTTGAATGTTCCTTCAGTAATCAATTTTGATAAATTACTAAGCTGGACTGGCTAATGACATTTGCACCCTTTCAGATTGGGTGGGACTCAGCTAGACCCAGTTCCTAGATCATCTCATTTTTAGAGAGCTTTTTGAAAGCCAAGGTACCTATTTAATTAAAACTCTGCAAGTTTATATGCAGATGAGTGCAAATTTCCACCCATTGTTGTTTTCTGGGTAATGAGAGGAAGGCATGGAAAAGCAGCCCAGGCTTTGGGAAAGCATCCATGTACAGTTTGATTTCCTAGTAATTGCTCAAAGTATATTTTAAAAAGCTGATTGTGGCAGTTTTTTTACCTTTTTCTTGTTTTCCTTTTAAAAATAATCCAGAGACATAAAGTGCAACAGTTTCTCTTTCATTTTTTCCCTCCTTGGCATACTCTCCTTTCCTAGTGAGCCTAATAAGATGCTGACCTGGCTCTGTGTGATCCTGTATTGTGATGGCCCCCACTCTTCCCACTGCCACTGATCCCAGAGTCTCCTTGGGCCTCATGGCTGTATGAGAACATTAGCATGCTGATCCTGTGGCATCAGTACAGAGCCCCCTGGTCTTTGACCAAGTACCGAGCTCCTTACTGGTGAAGCCTAAATATGAGGGGGGAGATGTCAGTCAACCTAGGTTAAAGGCACAGCTGATACCTGTTTCAGACTTAGCTGTGGTTTAAAGGTCGTTGTTAAGGGACAGGTTCCCCAGGAATAATTTACTTTTTTTTTTTTTTTTTTTTACTTTTATTGTGGTGAAAACATACATAAGACACTCACCAACATAACAGCTTCCACATTTACAGCTCAGGGACATTGATGACATTTTTTATGTTGTCCCACTATTGTTCTTCTTTTCCAAAATATTCCACTACCATTAGCATAAACTCAATGCTCCATAAACAAAAGCTTCCCCTTTCCCCCTCCCTCCTACCCATGGTAACCACTAATCTTTGATTTCTCTCTCTCTATATATATTCAACCTATCTAAGAATTTTCCCTCCCCTCCCATCCCTGGTAATCAACAAAGAACATTTCCTTCTACGTATAAACTTTTTCTTGATTTTTTATAATAGTGGGCTAATGCAATATTTGTCCTCTGTGATTGACTCATCTCATTCAGCATAATGTTCTCCAAGTTCATCCACGTTATGTGGTACTTTGCAGATTATACATTATTCTTTATGGTTGCATAGTATTCCATTAGGACCTCTGGTGGCATAGTGCTTAAGGCATTTGACTGCTCACCGGAAGGCTGGTGGTTCAAACCCACCAGCCAGCTGCTCCTCAGAAGGAAGATTGGTCAGTCTACTTCTGTAGAGGTACCACCTCGGAAACCCAAGGAGGGGTCACTATGAGTCGAATCATACCATGGTTTGTTTATCCATTCCTCAGTTGATGGACACTTAGGTTGTTTCCATCTCTTTGCTATTGTACATAGTGCTGTGATGAACGTGGGTGTGCATATATCTATTCATGTGCTGCATCTCACTTCTTTAGGATATATACCTAGGAATGGGATTACTGGATCAAATGGTATTTCTGTTTCCAACTTTCTAAGGAATCGCCATACTGATTTCCACAGTGGTTGTATCATTTTATAGTTCTGCCAACAAGCAGTGTATGAGAGGCCTAAACTCTCCACAGTCTCACCAGCATTTTTTATTTTCTGTCTTGCTGAATTTTGCTATTAATGCTCGGGTGAGATGGTATGTCATTGTTGTTTTGATTTGCATCTCTCTAATGAAATGGGAGCTCTGGTAGCATAGTGGCTAAAGCGCTTGACTGCTAACCAGAAGGCTGGTGGTTCAA